TGCGTGATGTTTTACCTACTTCAATTGATAAATTATAATTTTTCAATACCTATTCGTAATCCATTATAAGTTATAATTTATACATATAGTACAGGAAAATACGTTTCATCTCATATAGGCACAATTTTGGGTCTTGGAGGGGCTTATAGCTTCTCCAAAATTAAATTGTATTTAAATTACAGTATTAAATTCTTCATTAGTTATCTGATCTCAAAATACAGTAAACGTTGTTTGAAGAAATTATTTTCTAAAGTTTAAACAACGCGTTTCATTATTTGTGAGTTTCCCATAGTAAAAATTCGGACAATAATTCAGACAATAATTTCGTCGCCTGTCGCCGTCGTAGGTATTCGTCCGTCTGTCCGTTACTATTATCAGTAAATAGTTACGACTGTTACGTTATTAGGATATAAGTTTATTTATTGCCAGCAGTTACGATTGTTTGTATATACTATATACTTAGTTATTAAGTTTTTATAAAGGTTCTATAGTGGAGTAATTTGATCATGTTTATGGGAGTGGGGGGGGGGGATTGAAACATTTACATTTTTATACAATAATTATTTTCAAACATTTTTGTTTGAGAGTAAAAAAGCTTAAAAGGTAATACAAGATTTGTCAAAACTTTTTTTTCAGTGATTGAAATGTATAGAAAATTCGTAGATAGAATCTATTTATATTATATCGTTTGGTTTGAATTTTGACAAAATCCTTCAAAATCTCGAATTATTTTGTAGACGTCATAATGTAAGCTGACAGATCGCTTCCGATCAGAATTCATTTTTCGTCGTATACACAATGATTTATCATTAAATTCAAGTTTAACACAACTATTACAGTGACCTACTTAAGGTGCACGAGGTACACCGTGCACTTGACATCTATAATTATACAGTAAAGCGGTTATACCTACTTGATCGCTTTTAAATTCTGAGCGGAACGATGAATATGTAGGTATTAGTTGTATATAATATGAAGTTTTTTTTTCTTTAAGTCATCAGTCATCGCCTTTTGATCAGTCAAAAGATTTTCAACTTCGAGGGCTTTTCCTACTTCCTAGTATAACAAATTGGATCTAGTTCGTACTTTGGTTAAATTACAGTATTTTCAATCGGAAAAAAAAAACCAAAAAATATAATATGGAATAACGAGAATCAAACAACACCGAATATTAAGCATTTTTAGCACTTATTATTAGTTATGATATTATAATATTCAACATTTTTTTTTTCAATTTGTGTATGATAAAATTTGTTTTCTGGTAAAAATACTCAAAAATGAAATTCAAGGTTCCTCATAAGTTGTCCATACTCCAATTAAAAATATGAAAATAATAAATTCACAATTTTTGTTTATAAGCGTTTAAAAATTCAAATTTGTATGAAATATGGTCAAAACTATCATTGTTGACAACTTTGGATATTATACAAATGTACCTATAACGATTTATCCACAAACGATTTTTGTTATTTTATTGTGATTCAAAAATATTGATTGTGGAGACCTAGAAAAATTACATTTGTTATAATTTTTTATACACAATGAAATTTAAAAACATTTAGAGTAATTTTAAGCTATTTATAGACGTTTTTTTTTTATTTTTTAAGTATTGATAAACATTTTAGCCTTATTAGGGTTGGTCAAAAAACTTCAAAATTAAATACTATGTACTTATTTAATGAGTTATGCAAACAGTGTGGAAGAAACCATGAAGTTCTCTAAAAATACTTCTCAAGAATGAACGTTATTATTGAATTTATGTATTTAATACCATACACATTATGCATATATTATAGGGTGTATTATGAATTGCTTATATTACTTGTTTAAGTTTTTTCAACCATAATTTTTATTTGTAATAACTTGGTAATTTTACTATATTCTAAATAAAATAATTTACAACGTCATAATAATATGGGTAAATAATACTCAACGCCTAAATACATTTAAAATGCATAATTAATATTATAATATTATCTTTATTATGGCGCGTAATTCAAATAGGCCAATCAGAAGCGTGGATTTAATATCGTGGCTAGTATTTCAAGTAGGAAACGATAATACGCGACCCGGTGCCTGTTTTCAAACTGCCCTCAATTCTATAAAATTGAAAATTATGTTTTATATTTTGATTTCCGCTCTTAAATTATAATACTTTAACACTAATCTACTGCCCAATATACATATTTAAGGTGTTTGGTAACGGTGTATATTATATAAAAAAAAAATGACTTTACAGGAACAATGCACAGGTCTTGTAGAATCGTTGGATTCTGATAACTATTTTTTTATCCGAAAAAAGAAGATTTCCTAGTGGCTTTGCTGAACTACGGTTTTTTTAATTTATTTCAAATAATTGGTATAAAATAATTTGGAAATAAAGCTTAAAATTGTCTTATTTTTAATAGCATATAAAGTTTGAGATTAAAATACTGATAAACGGTGTTCAATGTGGCCTGTATTACCTTCTCTATTAGTTTAAAAAAAAAATGATCAAATTTGGTTGATTCTACAAGGCAGGATCATTATTTCCGTAGAGTGTATTTTTGTGGACAAAATGTCATTGGCACCGGGCGGCTATTAACTCTTATAGTCTTATTAGGCTAACAGACCGTCTTTCCTCTTCGATTTTCGTTGTTACCATTTAATTTATCATTGAACTCAAATTTAAGAAATCCATTTCAGTGACCATGACACCGGTGACCAGCACTCAATGACAAGGAACACTCGACATCTACCACACAGCGGAGCGAGGTTCTTATTTTTTTTTACTATTATTTAGAAATTGATAAAACATCTTTGAGGAGCTTGTAAGCCTTTAGGCTTCTACAATACAGTCGTACTTGGTAACCTCAAGTACTTACGATTGTTTTGATATTATATATGTGCGTGTGACAAATTACCGTTTTTTTTTTTTGATTTGTTACTTAAGGGACTTATATAATGCTGATTAGGCGATAGTGGCACACGCTCATAAGTATCGCATTTATTTATACACGAACCACGCCGCGGAAGCAGTCCAGGTCGCCGATCGGTATATTAAAATAATAAAATCGGCGTTAGACTTGCTGGAACCGACGACGGCGTAGCCTTGACTACGTAACGCGCCAAAACACACCATACATCACGTTATGTAGTGTACGTAGTGTTCATCCTGTCATCGCATAACTGCACATTTTGTTTATCAAATAAAAAATTGTGTATTACATAGAGCTCGATGAAGCGTGGCTCGTCGTGTAATTTTCGGGTAGAAGATGACACCCGCACGATAATATGCAAACACAGTACATTTTTGTACTCTGCAAACCATAGTAGGTATTTTTAAGACGGACATAGTTTAACGACATACAGCTGATATTTTCAAAAACCGTTTCCAATAATATATTGGTGAATTTTTTTATAGCACGTTTCATATAGGCGGACTGCAGGCCAATTTTGGTCCAGGGTGCAAAATTAATTAAGGGTACATTTGTTTAGATTTAGGAAAGAGATTTCTAAATTACAATGAGAAATACAACGAGAAATACTACCCGACAGTGCGGTAATCGGGACGCTGCAGGGTGCAACTCGACTTATAGCGTCCTGGGCCAGTCCACCCCGATAGTTCCTATAAAAAACAACATATATGTAACGCTTAGCTAGTACCACGTGCAGAGATGTGTGAGACGTCAGTCAGAAAATTGTAAAACTCTTATACCTACATGATATGCTGCTGGTGCGGAGTCCCTCCTTCGTGTTTAAATTGAAAAGTACATATCATATTATTCCATAAATTACCTACCCATTTGGATTTCAAAACAAACAGATGCTTATAAAAAACGATAGGGTTACCTGATGGTCAATTATCTATATCGATTTTCATTATGCTATATGGGTGAAGACGTGAAGTCATGAGGAAATCAATAATTTGTGGTTATAACTCGTAAGCTCAAACGAAAATGGGTACTCATCTCAGCCGTTCGAGGAAAAATAGAAAATAATATCTTGTAGCAGACTTTTGGCGTTAAAGCGTCTACACGATTCTCGTCACGAATTTGGCGGTTTCGCGTGACGCCGGAAAAAGTACTTTGAAACGATTGTCTCGTGGTTAACGGATAAAAAAATAACCAAACAAAAGAGTAAAAGACTCGGAGCGGAGCGAGCCGCTTGGCAACATCGCGGTCCGTCGCCGCCGCACCGAAACCGGTCTTGGGTCGGTACAGGTGTGGTGCGCTTCATAATGGTTCGGTCGGACAGGTACCAACGGCAGTGGGGGCGCAGAAAGCGAACGGATGCGGCGGCGGTGGTGGTGGTGGTGGAGTAATTGGTGGCGGCGGCGGTCGGTGGTGAGGCGGTGCGCAACAGTAACGACAACGTCGACTCGGAAAAAGGTGAGTCACTCGGTCGCGTCGCGTGTGTGTATACCTGCGCAGGTTGCCCGGTGAGCGACAGCGGCAGCGGCGTCGGAACACCCGCCGCCCGGTGGGGGAGTACCGAGCGTAGCGGTCGTGGTGCGTATGCACACGCGAAAACATTCCTCTACAACCGCTACGCCGCTGTCGCCGCCGCCGCTCGTACAGCACGACGATACAGTATTAATAATAATATTATGGTTCGGCGGGCCTTTGGCGGGTTCCATCGGACGACAGGTTACCTCCGCGGCACCGCGATACTGTAGCCTCCGTCGTTGACTAGAGCAGCCGCCGTAGGACGTTAGGTGAGCGATATCCACGATTACCTATTTTATATTGTAAATTTTGTTGTTTTCGTAACGATTTCGCGACGCGGCCAAACCGGTTGGTCGGCGGCGGCGGCCGGAGCGCGCCAAAAGCGTCGATTCCCGCCAGCAGCCGTCGTCGGGTCGGCAGTCGGCACTCGGCCGCGCACGACTTCCGACCGTCGGCGACCATATACGATTTTTGTGTGCCTACCTAACCGACACGCGTGGTCATCGTTGTTTGATCATAATATCGGACCGACTTACAGTGATATTTAATTAGATTGCAGCGGTAGTCGTTGCCATGCAGGGCTTGTCGCTAAGGAAGCCGTGCGGCGAGAAGGAGTGCCCCGAGTACCACATGTGCCAGGCCCACGATCTCCAGTGCTACCCGTGCCATTCGTACTGCAACGAGACTTCGCACAATTTCGACGTCAAAATATGCCAACAACAGTGTCAAGGTACAAAATATTATTATTTTCTATATATAGCTCGAGCTCATTTATCAGACTGACGTGTTTTTGCTTTAACGATTTGAGGTACTATCGGTAATTTTTTAAAAAAATTTACGCTTTCCTTCAGATCTGCAATTTTCGAATAAAACTGATACGTACCTACCATATAGATAGGTGCTCGCGTTTCTGACCATATACGATAGTATACATTTTACGCTCCATTTACCCTTTATTATTATATCGTCCGTTATAGTGGAACATTGAGCATCATACTTACTTTATATCCTATTCGTATAATCTCGGACTTTTAGTGCATACAATAACAATTATAATAATTATTATTATATCTGCTATATTATTATATTATATCTTACACTGGCGACTGGCCGCGTTATAATATAGTGTTGTTATTATTATTTTAACATATTATTATCATAATAATTATTCGCTTGCCAACAGCCGCAGCAGTCGTTTCTGCGAGCGAGGTCAACCGCCAAACGTCGCGGCGTCCTTATTCTCGGTGAAGGAACAAATTAAAAAAACCCACTCGCGACGAATATGACGATGGCGCGCGCGAGGGGAGGACCTTATTTCTTTCGCAGTACCGATGACTTTCTACTCTGGAACATGTCGTCTATAATATTATTCGCCGCATTCAACCGCAAGCGTGTGAAACATTACCTACCTATCGTTTCTGCGAATATTCATTAGGCCAGCGGCCGAGTGCCGACCCCGTCGATGTCTCTCGCTCGCCGCTTTCTATATCGCCAAGTTCATGCCCGCAAAGGAAGCGCTTCTGCGAGCTCATAAACCGTCAATTTCACCAAAAATCATCGTTTAGAGTGTACCCTGGGGCCCCCGGATTGCCGTACGCCATGATAACAATATCGTATTCCGTTTATACTCGGCGAGATACAAGATCTCGTTTACTTTTCAATTCGTTCGGCAAAAGTCTCTCGTACGAAACAATTATATTGTTAAACAGTTCGACTCGTACCGCAGCAGCACATATTCTGTACGCACATAATTTTTTATTTTCGATAAGCTGTTTTAGAACGATATAGTCTCATAATAATACGACGTAGTACGAGTCGATCTGGTCAACAATAACGTGTATGGGGCGCGATGATGATGTACGTGATCGCGGTGTAAATAAAAATGAAAAACAACATGGTACATTCTTTAAACGATGGTCCGTACGAGACTGGTTGGGATTTTTTCTTTGTCCCGGCCCGTGTCTGATCCCCGGTGCAGTCTTTCTATTATAATAATAGAAATAGTAGGCAATATTATAATATTGGGACACTGCCACTGCACCGGTGGAAGACGATAAGCGGCCACATCCGTTTAATGACTTTAATATATTAATTAACCCGGTCAGGTATGGCACGCGCGTGATAAACTGATATTATATAAAAACCGAAAATGATATGATCACGAAAATACCTGATACGAGCAAACAAACGAAAACTAGAAATTATTACGATCGGGGATTCTGCTCGTAAATCTATGCTCGTATTATAATATAGTATGAGTGTGTATGACGCAGATCTCGCACCATCCACTCTGTCGTGTATTATAATATAGGTGTATACCTATTATACTATTATAATATGATATATATATATTTAGTAGCGAAGCGAAATTGGTCGGTGGTCCCGCTTTGTTACAGCGAGTTTTGTTGTTTTTTTTTTTCTTCGCATGTCCTTGGAATACGATTCCGAGGGGAACAATCCCGAAAAGAATTCGGTGCCTACCTATGCCTCTGCAGCATTGTTATATTTTGCTGTCTGTAAGGTAATAAATAATGATTTGTGAGACCTGCGGCTGTACACAATGTTTTAGGTCCTCATACGGTTATACTCGATCATCGAATGCCCCCTAAACAGTATATACATAATACATATATTATAATTATACCGAGGTAACCGATGAAGATCGCCGCGCGCGTGGAATTAATTTAATACGATTGCGGTCGAAAAATTCAACCGACTTTGAAGTCTCCGCATCGCCTGTTACGTCGATAAAAATATGTACCTAGTCATGTAGACGGGAGATTTTCTGTGCCGAGATTAATAATTTTCTTTTTCAACCCCCCCCCCCCCCCCCCGATCGTGGCCAATGCGCTATTATGTCTGTCATTTATTGTCTGTTCTGATTTCCATCGGTCGGGTATTTTTTTCACTCGTTTTTTCTCCTATATTTATTTCGGACGACATTATATTATTATTATTCTATAATAGGTATGACTGCAGCTCAACTATTTTTTTTACATAACTAATTTTCGTCGATATTGTAACTGTACTCATATTTTATGCGCCATTTATTTATTTGGGTTATAACGTATGATTTGAAAAACATTGCGGTCTTTTATCCTTTCGTGCATTATGGTTCTATATATTATGGTGTGTGTGTGTGTGTGTGTGTGAGTAATATGACTTATATTTTATGGAATACCCTATATATATATATATATATACCATGGCCATTAGCTAAGGCACTAACAACTTGCCCCACAACACATTCACAATAATGATCGAAGGTGTGTATTTTTTTGCCACTATATGGTTTTCAAGTGTATTTCGTTTATAATTTATGTGATACATATACATAGTAACGTGTTTTATAAAAGGTAATAAAATATATTTCATCGTGGACTCCTCCGTTTTTTGAGTTCGTACTAAAAATTTCACAGAAATTTAACTAAAAGAATAAAAAATGAACTGTATCATATTTATTTAATTAATAACGCCCTAAAGATATAGAGAGTATATTATACAGATTACATTTTAAATATTTTATCGGTACGCCTGTTCACAAATTATAAGTAAATAACTGTTTAAAAAATAAATATTATTAAAGAAGAAATAACAATTATTCAATTGACTATTGCAATAAGTTAAAATACGATTTATTGGGCTATTTAGGACAACACATTGTTTAAACATTTGACTGTGTAGAAAGTATTATAAATTGGTACGTATGTACACAGGTGGAATACGAAAATGTATTAATCTTATATAAAATAATTCGGGACACAACGCACTACTATAACTTGAAATATATGAAACATTTTTTTGAAACTAAATACAAATAAAGTATCCATGTCATCGAGAGAAACTAATGAGTATAATTTAGATTAAGAGAATAAAGAAGAAAAATGAAATATTGTATTCATTTTAATTATGAAATTGAAATAATTTTTTTTAAGGTTTTCAGTATTTGAATATGCATATTTTGTACTATTCTATGTATACACTTTTTAAATATGGTGTACCTACGTCCGTTGTACGTCATGCAATATTTTTCACTCCGATTCTGCGAACCGTGAACTCACAACTATATAATTGTTTTCGGATGTTCGTGATAATTTGCACAATGAACTCAAAGTATATTATACAGCTTTAGATGACATAAAGAATTAATTCATTGTGTTATGCATTGCCGTAAAACAAAACAATAAGTTTCATAAATTGTTATAAAATATACATATATTATTTTATATTTCTAAACAAAATTAAAGGTAATTTTTATTTTGCAGCCTAACAAAAAATATAAATATCTTGTTTTGCAATCAATATTATTTTTTTTTTAATAACCTACCGACAAATAACTTACAGGTTTTAATTTTTTACACGACTAATAACAATAATATCTAAAATTATCACCATAATTTATTATCTATATATGACTACAGTAATGTATAATATAATATATACGAGGTAACCCCTACAGCCCCGCCCGAGATAAATTCTTGAATATTATGCTACTTGTTACACTTACTCGTAAATTGTAACATGTAACACGACTCGAATAAAAAATTATCTCAATAGATATAAGGTAAAAAATAAAACCTATATGGTAATGGAATGAAATTAAAACTATGTAGGTAGGTACGTACATGCGTACGGAAACTAACTATATTATTATTTCTAGTAATACTCGCATAAAATAATATCAGCAATAATATCGCAATAATATCGGCTTAGCTATTCAGCCATGTACCTAATAAGAAAAGAATTTGAACTTTCTCGAAATCCGTCGTTGATTAAAAAAAAAACAAATGTATTATATATATCGTTTATTTGTGATAACGAAACGTGTCTTATCCTTTATTACCTATGAATAATGATAATGATTATCGGCCGTATAAAACATGTCATTTTACTATCTGGGATCGACAACACTTTTATGACGTTGGACCGACCAAATCGTACATTTTGTCCAACTATTGAGATATATTTTATTATATTATATCTTAATTCGTTATGGCGCTACTGCGTCGATCAAACATTTTGTCAACTTTCACATGAACCTGCACGTGTATTCCGCCATACTTCTTTAATGCGGTTTTGTCGTCTAAATTATATTTTAGTCACAACACGTGTACAGCTGCACTGTTGTATTGTACATTGTAGGTAGTTGTTACGAGTTGAAAATCATTGTGTCCGAAATTATTAAAAAATGTTTTATACAGCTTTGTTGTACACAGCTCATGCGGTATAGCCATATATAGGTACTTACACTTCATGATATAACACATTTTACAGGACACGCACAAGCTAAATATACGAATTTGAAACTTGATAGGACCAGGTGGGGATGATAATTGTTATAGGAGTATTACCACCAAATTTCCAAAAAAGCAATATCATGGTTGTATAAAAAATAAATACATATTTACGGTTATTAATAATATCTAAAAGGAATCATCATAGATATCACACGTTTTGTCAAATTTCGCAGATCGGGCAGTGGGTGATAGGCGCGGGCATAGCTGACATATCCAGACATCATAATATTTTATCTGACGCATAAGATTCTGTGTGGCAGTCAGCATTAGTTTGTTTAAGAAAAAAAACCCACCCCGTCGGGTATATTAAAAGCTAAATCCCCCCCACCTCTTGTGACCTGATTCCGCCATGATGCCGTCTTCCTATAGGACGTGACTGTTGTGAACACAGCTATTCAGGCTGCCTGTGACTCGTCGTCGACTAAAATAATTATATCATGTCTGTACAACCGCAGGTAGTTGACCCATGATACCTGTACGAAATATAGTTGACGTATTATGTTAACCTATACGTGGATATCCGAAGCGATGAAGACGTCCTATGTATATAGGGAAATCAATCGGGTCGACCAAGTCGTGCTGCTGTATATTATACACATATCGCATATTATAATATGATGGAGGGAGGGTGTTACCGGGGCAACTGTAAGCTCTACATCGGCCAAACAAACGCAAGCACATATTTATATTACATAGGTACAGAACAGTGGAATATTACACCCAGAAGTTACACCCAGAAGTCTGAAATGTCTTTTGTGCGGTCTTAGGTTTTATCACAATTCAGTTTTTTAAATTTATTTTTTACCTATACTTACCCTTACACCTACCATCGTCGCCGAACGTGCTTTATCCAATCCATTTTATCGTCTGTAGGTATATACATATAATATATATATATTTAATATTATTGTGTTTTAAGTACGTGTTTTTTTTTTCACTCCGCGTCTGAGCACGTTGTTAACTCGACCGTAGACGTCACACGCATTATAATATTATATTGTGTAGGTATACCGCACGTATGGTAACTACTGTTGTGTACGCCATCATCATTCGTCCTAAAACATATAATATTATATATTATTTCCGTTGATGTGTGTGTACCTTACCAAAATGTCGTATCGGACGAGTGATGATGACTTACACACATAGGTACTATTATTATAGTATTTGTCATTACACACAAATTATTATTATCATAATATTATTACGTCGGATTTTGGGCGGGCAGATGGTGTATAATGCTGGTCGCGGCGAAATCTGACACCTGGAATGCGCAAGTACCCGCGGTGCAGAGGACATGTCCAATAATAATAATAATAATTGTAAATTCTGCAAGATAATTGAATTTTTCTTATATTACGACGATGTGTCTATCATTGCGACACGCTCGTCTGCCCCGGGAGGGGGTAAATAGGCGCGTAAAATGAAATACTTTGTTTTGAATATATGGGACGACTGTGCTCAGACGACGATTCGCAGTCGTCCGTATAAATGTGACAGCATATTAATTTATCGTTATTGAATTTTTTTGTTTTTGTGCAGATTACATACACGACTACGTGAAGCATTACGTCAAGGATAGTAACATCCAAGGTGAGCGACTGACTGTGCCCGTACAGTTATACATTTTTTTTTTTTGAAACGTAGTTATAATGCTGTAGGCCTTTTTCCAAAAATTATAATCAATAACAATATTATGCAAATTCGTTCCGTGTGCGCAGATGTGCTACAAGAGTTGGAGACCCTGAAAACGTTGATAATATGGTTGACGTTGTTGGTGGTCGTCGCGATCGTCTTGATGTCCGTCATGTTGGCGTTCGTGTGGAAACGCGAGAGGAAGATGCCGAAGCTCAAGAACGGAGGGAAGGATTCGTATTTCAAAAAAAAATTGGCTTTCCTAAAGGTAAAACGAAATACAATATAATTTATTACGTACATATAGTTAACAATAGGCAGGTACCCACCTCGAAAAATATAACCGAAAAAAAAATAAATAAACGTGTAGGTAGATGATATAGGCATACGCCATACGTAGAAGTGAGAATCACCTATACGTGATGAAGTAAAAAAAAAAACCTCTTTATAATATATTGTCTCTCATTTTTTTTTCTTCCTCTGAAATTATTACATATAATATACCAACACGCTCGAAGAGGGTGTGACGTGTCGTTATTATTATTCTATATTTCTCCGCACAGCATAATAATAAGAATGTTTTTCATTCCGTCCGGTGCAGGTACCTACCTAATACTATACGTGTTTGAAAATGGTGTGTGTTTGGCTGGGAGACGTGACGTTCACATCACATTACCTATACTCGGAGAGGAGGCATAATGGATCGTTGTAATTATATATCCATTCGAACCTATACGTATATTGTATTATTATATGTTATGAAGTATCACGAAGTGCATGCAGCAGGTGCAGTTATGATGCGTGTTGCAGTAATCGCGTTTTTATGGTATTTTGTAACGCATATCGGAATTCCTTGTAATATATGCCTCCGTATAGGTAACTGCTTCCGTTCCTCTATATATCGGAATGGGACTTATATACAAGACTTGTCCCGATAATGGATGGTCGTTAAATTGCAATTATTGTCGTTCCACGGAGTGTGTTTTTTTTAATGCGTATATACTATATACCGATCGAAGAAAAATGAAACTTCTCGAAAAATAATAATAATACAAATTTACAATAACTTCGAATTCCAATTTCGCCTTGAGACGCAATGTTGCACCACAGCGGCGCAATGTCGTCGACAATAACTGCGAAAACAATACGAACAATATAATATAATGCCATCAAAACCGTGCGCGTATCACGCGTACATACGAATAATAATAAAATAATAATATATTATTAATATAACGATTACAAGGTTTTATGAATTTCAATGCGGGAACACAATATTAGTCATAATATAATTTACTAACGTAAATTATTATAAAATGTCATGTTCACCCATGACACGTGAAAGGTATATAGAGGGACGCGATCGGAAATGTAATAGATTTTTAATGTCAACAGTGGTTATCAAAAATCATGTCTCATTATTATGTCTCAATAATGTATATTATTTTATTATAATATATATTTCAGTCGTTACGCGTTAGCACCCGTTAAATACACATTATATTACACCTAAATTATAGTAATATTATACGTTAATACAATGATAACGATGAAAATATCGTCGAACCTATCCCGTCCTCAACTATTTGAGAAACGTCATTTTCTATAACATATTATGTGTACGTTGTATATAATATGTTTCACTTAAATAATGAAATATTATTGTATTGATGCTCTCGTATCTCGGGATGTTTACGGTTATTATTGAGTTGTGTTTGCAATAAATGTCGTTCCGATGAAAAAAAAAAGCCGATGTAACGCATAATATTTACACAGTGCAGCGTGTATAATGTATATGTATAATAATAATATTTCGAAACTCGTGTAGTCGTAGTAATGTTGTATAGGTATGGGAATGGGAATATATTATGGAATATAAGTCGTTAGTAATTATTATATGTATGTCATGTATTGTCATGTGTATTGTGTAATGTGTAGGCGGTTTTTTTGTCAGTCTGCGAAATATTTGGACGTAGAAATTATTTTCATTTACTATAGATCCGTTCGGATGTAAAAAAAAAACTACAATGATCGTCATCGCCTCGGGTAAATTTCATTAAATATATGATAATATTGTATTATATAACTCATTTGAAGGTCTCACTCGATAAACATCAGTGCTGTATACAATATTTTTTTAACAAATAATATTTGCCTTTCTCAGCATATATAGTTTTCACTCAAACATTCGATTCTATAACTGATTCACACGCGTCCAAGTACAAATGTACTAAAATTATCTTATAAACGATTTAGATTAATATTGATATGAGGTCTCAATATTTGAAGCGGTATACACTGATTTCCATAAGGCGTCTGACCATATATGTGTAGGCACGTGCTGCATCTGCAACATTTTTTTGGACCGTCGCGGTGCGAGCTCTAGTCGACTGGCCGAGAAAATGCATTATTATTCACAATATAAATAGATGGTTTTAACATGATAATATATTCGACCAAGCTATTATAATATTATAATGGAGTGGAAAACCTATAGGCATATACAAATCTCCAATATTTTTGATAGGTGCATAATTTATATAATCTCTCGTCTTGGTATATGCCGCAAGCTTTAAAATAATATTTAAAACCGAGAAATACAAGTGCCTACAGGCACGAATACTGCAGGGAGGGATTTGGGGGTTTACCCCCCCCCTGAAAATTAATAGGTGTGTAATTTATTTATATATATATATAGATTATGAACCCCCAATTTTTTTTTGTGTACTTGCCTATATTTAAATACTATTTATTTTTTCATCAATAATTATTATCCTAGCTGTACTCTAGTATATAATATAATATTAACATTGTGTGTTTGTCTTGTTCACAGTTCAGGAAAAACACGGTTAACACGGTGAGCGAGACGGTGGACAACAAACCGTGGACGGTGGCGGCGGCGGCGACGACTATGATGGCCGCGCACACGACGACGGACGGCCCGAAGGCGTCGTCGGCAAGCTCGTCGTCCGGCCACCGGACCAGCCGCACGACCGTCTCGTCGTCGTCCACGTCGTCGACCGACAAGCTGCCCTGCGAGGACGCCACGCTCGTGACGCAGGAGTTCACCGGCTACGACAACCTGGGGCTGTGCAAAGTGTCGCCCGTGCTGCAGAGCAAACCTACGGCCACGGCCACGATGAAGATGTACGGCGCGACCGACGTGGACCTGCTCCACCGGTACTCGCCCTAGCCCCGGCCCACAGCTCCGGCCCACCGCGAGTCACCGTCGTCGCCGATACGACGTGTCGGATTGGGAAATGGTCGACGGAACGACGGCCGCACGATTGCGAAGTGAGGCGGCCGCGAAGAAACGAAATGCCGCAGGGTACACTACCCCTATATTATATGCTACCGATATTATATACCAGCCAAGGTTTGTAGACGATAATAATATTGTCTATTATAATATATTATGTTATAACGTTATGGATAATATCATATATTATAATTTATAATATTATTATATCTACCGTCCTTGACTTCCGGGCCATGTTTCGTCGTCGCTGGTTGTCTTACACCGCGTCCCACGCAAACGCGACGAGTGCCAACGATTTCTATTCTGCAGACCGTTCTGTTCGAAATGCGATGAAATACAAGCCGTCACGTTCACACATTCGTCGTGTTTACGTGTCGGGCACGGCGGCGTCATTCCGCCACGCGTACGATATTTCGGTGTACTCGGAAACCCATCGAAGAAACGTGACCTATATACACATTGCAGGACTTGATAATATTTAGAGACTTTATTGGATTTCGCTCACATAAATGCAATTTTTATTAGAGAGAGAGAGACGTAGCGTTTAGACCTGTGTTTAGTAGTGTGAGAAATTCCAAAAATCGATGGTAGGGGTAATAATTTTGAAAATCTCGTTTTGTATACAATATTTTTCGATACAAAGCTTTAGCATAATCAGCTCACACACGCACATAATATAAAATATGACGCGTTAATTGTCGTTTTTTCGTTTATTTGTGTTTATTATTATTCGTTCAACTGTTATATTATTATGTTTTTGACTGCGCACAGTATTATATCGACGACGCGCGTACGCGGTCCAAGTACTTATATAAATGTTCTCGTTGTTGTTTTTTTTTCTTTCTTTCTTTAACAATGTATACCTATAGGAAGTAGATATAAGTTTTATATTATTTTGTAACCATATTATGTTATGACTTTGTTGTAGATACTTAGGATAGCTAGGGTAGTCGATATATACAGGTAGGTAAATGTTATAATAATAATGTAAAACGCTCGCGGTATACGCGTTAGCGATTAGTGTATGATAAGTTAGGTTTAGCGAGCTATGAGGAGGATGAAATAAACCTTTGATCAGTGAACCCCGTCCAATAAACTTTAACAGTTTTTAGATAACTTTACGCAGCGCTCGTCCATGTCTGTATACGTATATATCAATATGTATATGGATACACTGTCGGCGTAAAGTTGTAGTTTGTCGTCGAACGCCTTTCGTTTGACGTTGTACATAAATAACTCTAATAAACATTTATTTATGATATATTATGAAAAATCATTTTTTTTTTTTTTATTACGTTTAATAATACCTATATTTCGTGTTGTACAGTAGAATATACGACTTAGGCGCATATACATTACAATATAGAACCATTGAGTATAATATATATTAATAGGAGGACGGAGTAGCGGGCAACTGTCAGACTGTCTAGACCGCCATCCCCCAACCGCCGGGCATGGCACAAATCTACAGGTGTCCAAAAAGAAATTCTGCCAAATAGGCGCCTTCGGGCCTACTCCTGCCCATTTAGCGCCATATACGAAAAAAAAATTATAATAATTAATATATATTGTACTCAATGATGGAACGTTTAATTGTTGTTTAAAATTTGTGAGACTTTAAAATTATATAATATTATGTATAATTTTAGTTTCCACAACACAAATTTTAATGTGCGTTGTTGAAATGTAATTAGATAGGTATATTTATAATATCATAGATATAGGTACATTATCTGTATTAGTATTACAGTAAGTATTATAGTAGTTAAGTTAATATTTTATCGTATAGGCACAAACTGTTATTTAGAACCGAGACAATCATATCATATTACTTAAGTAGGTATAATATTATGTGCGGATATTATATATTATTATCTGTAGGTTAACCTAGATACGTATATCATGTTATGATATATTTGAGTAATGTTGTATTATTGTAGAAACAAATTTGATTAGAATGTATAAGTATTATTTTATAATGTTTATAAAAAATTTGTTCAATATATTATTATTATTATTATTATAAAATATTTTTAACGTTGTTGTGGATGTACAACGGTTTACGATTGTCATGAAAAGTGTATCGAAAAGCAATAATTATATTTAAGCATATTCTGTGAGTACGTGTATTGCGTATTTTTTCTATTTTTTCTTCTTGCGGCACCCGAGTCGGTGTCTATTTTTTTCATGTCATAATATTATATTACTATATAAGTGCGTATTGTTGTATTACGACAGAACAATCTGTTCCTATTTATTTCATTTTTGTACGAAAAAAATTATCACGTGATGAGAAAAAAATTATATTATGTTGCATATTTATAAATACGTTTTTTTTTTTTTTAATAATTATTTTTATTTCATTCGACTCTGCAGTCAGGAATGCCTGAATTAGCGGTATTTTATCCAGGGAAAACGCCGTGAAAAGGAACCGCAAAGACATTTTTTTCCAAAAACTCCAAACTGCTGTAATTTTAGCGTTTAAGTATTATAAAACACATTAATACTTACGTAGGTACCAATGAAAAAAAAAATGATTAATTATAAGCAAATGTCAAGCTATAAATAGACAATATCCAGGGGATCTAGATTGTATTTTTATACTCTAAAAAATACTACCTCATTCTGTAATTTGGACAATGCTCATTTATTTTTAAATCAAAGATTCAAATATTTAGGTTTTTTCATTTCTGCTCGGTTCACATTATATAATTTAGATAGTTGATGTCCAAGTAGTCCAGCGTTCACGTTTTTATACCATAGCTGCCACCTAGGTATATTGAGTATATTATTATTATTATTGTATTAAATATTAATTGTAAATTTGACACATGGCCGTCATGTATATGCTTAAATAAACAAATATTATTATTTATCAAATTATAATAGGTACTTGTATGATATACAGTAAACCACAATTCAATGGCGGGGCGAACGTGAAATTTTTGAGGGATTAGTCTTAAATTTCACCCACCTTGCAGCACTATTAACCCGTTAAAGGCCCATTCACTGTCATATTTGTAAGTTGTAAAATTACCTGTAGTAGTCATTACTAAAATACAAGAGTATTACTAAGCCACTTAGCCATCCCCCAAAGAAAATCAGAGGCGTCACCCTCTCAGTTACCCCACTGTGCTACATTGTCACTAATAATCAAAGGCATGCTCAGACTCTTGGTTTCGGGGGTACACATTAAAAATTAAAAATATATATATAATACTATGTAAAAACACAACAATTATTTTTTATTTGGAATTTTTAATTTCAATTTAAACCAGCCAATCCATTGGGGTCTTGTTTAATAATTAGGTCCACCCACTTACCAAACGGCGGGTCTGGGGGTATCCAGACACTCCGCACCCACACATATGCTTATAATAATAATTACAATACACCAATAAAATGTCTGTCATATAGGTATAGCTTATCATCTTAGACGCTGGAGTGCTATGGCGATACAGTTCTTAAGGAGATGCTGAGCACCCCAAGCTGTGGCCTGTGATGCAATAATTAGTGTGGTAAATAGTAAGTATACAAAATTATACTTCTGTTTTCTCTTAAAGCAAAGTTAAATAATATATGTTCAATGCTCACATATTATCAGTGTTGTAAAAAGTACTTTTTAGTGCTGAAATAATTTGTAAAAATCAAAAATTTGTTTATTCCTTTTTAAAAACATGATTTGTTCAATAATCAAAATTCTGATCAGTCATGTTAGTTGCACCAAAACAATGAACTTTTCTCTACAAAGTTATATATTAGTTCAAAACTATAATATGTATTTGGATATCTCATACCGCCGTCGACGATAAACGATAATGATAATTATTGATAAAAATTGTCTTGGTATATAGGTACCTACTACCTAGTAGGTACTAATAATTACCTAGTAATAATATTTTCGTATAGTTAAATAATTATTAAGTATAATAGCCGATAAGCAGAAGCTTTTTATATATTATATATGTTGTTATTGACTTAAGCTAATTATAGTGATACCGACTACAAATGTATCTTTTCGATCTTCGTCGAAAATAAATTGTCTCCTGGAGAAAAAAAACATTTAATCGTCAAAAACCGATACCAAATTGTCTGTGTGTGTTTTTATTTAACAAGAATAATAATAAGTAGAAACAAGTTAAGAATTAAAAGGATAAAAAATAAGTATTCAATAAAATAGTATTCAATAGTAAAAAAAAAGTATTTCAAATACCATTCAAATATTTCAAAATAAAAAGTATTTAAAAAACTATTCAATCATAAAAAAGGTATTTAAATACTTTTACTCAAATACTTTACGACACTGCATATCATATTATTATACTTAGTTTAAACTTTTGAGTATGAAACTATTTTTTTAAGAAATATACAATGATAAATCATATGAAATTGGTTTATAAAATGTAACCGTCGTTTTCCAAAATTTGTTTTGTATAAAATAATTTAACTTGAAGAAACTTTTAGTGGCATCTGAAATGAGCCAATGCTAATAGATTTTTCTGTTTAAGTATAAACAGAAACATGTTGAAGATGAACAAATTTAAATCCACTTATGGCTTGCACATTGATCATCAAATTTCACTGTTGTTATATAAGATTGTTCCTAATCTTCTGTTATGTTTTAGCCGTTTTAGATTTAATTAAACTGCAGTAGAAACTAAATCAACTCAACAATACAACTCGCAATATAAAAAAAATAAAAGTGATCTATATAATAATTAATAAATATATTTTTATTTAAAACTTAAACCAATAACATTATACTAAAACAATTCAAGTAAAATATAAAGTCAACATTTTGTGTAGGTATAACAATTAACAATTCAAGTTTGTACAAAAATAAGTAATTTGACGGCTTTATTGCAAATATTAAGTATTCGTAATACTTAGGTAATAGTCCCTTTAACATGATTTAGTGGCCCATGATTGATCCATTAAATTCTATTAAACCATTAAAATCAAAACATTTTTCATGCAACCCAGCATTAGACTTTTTTTGATCAGGATACATTTTATTTTGGTGGAATAGGTGTATCACAATTTCCATGATATAAATGCACTTTCTCTGTACACCTTGCAAATGAGTCAAATGTATCCGCATAACCGTGTAGCTTCCACCATGTACATAGTTGGCGATTCCATCCACACGATAAACGGTAAATTAACTCTGGGTGTTCATAACTTACCAGAGTGTACCAGTCTTGATCGCCCAAATGTCCCTTAAAATTAAAACGACCATCATAAATCAATAATTTGCTTAAGACCAAAGATGAGAGATGTGTATGCTTACTTTGAATAGATACTTTTGAACAACACTAGAAATCCATTCAGGACTGATAAGTCTATCGTATTCGGCGCTTTTTCTAATTCGCTCCAAATATGACAACAAAACACCACTGTTCAGCCCATTTAAGTTTGTGTGTGGCTGAGTTTTGTACTTATCACCTCTATAGTTTCTCCATTTCCACAGAATATGATGGTAGACAGGGGAAAGTTCTGGGGCCAAACCAAATAGTTGTGTGTCAGTAAAACTATAATAACAATAATATACTTTATTTTCAGTATTTTTGAAAGCATTTCTAGTTCTGTTTACTTGTCAAACACATTGTAAAGGTCACATATGGTGGATTGAAATGCTGTATCAACATCAACCACAATAGCTTTATCCAAAGAATTAGGGGCGACTAGATGAAGTGCTGGTGATAGGTAGAAAACATCATCACTGTAATAAGATCCTTTTGACGATTGAAAGAAACGTTTCAATGGTTCGATTTTACTCTCAACTATTTTCAGCACGTCTTGAAAATCATAATGAACTAGCTGTACATCATCATACACACACAAATGAATAGAATTTCCAATCAAAAAGACATTTAAAATTTATATTTACCGTCAGCAGTGTCTCTTTGTACTGTTTGCTAAATTCGTATATTACACTGTCCACCGTCGGACGGCTGGCATTGTCTGTTATTACATTTAATTCAAAAATTGCACGACACTTGCCACGGTGACTGATTAGAGACTTGAAGAACTTACGAAACTTTGTCAACAAGTGGCCGCGATCGATTTTCGTCACCGATATCCATATGCTAACCTTCGACTCGGTCTTGTTACCCGGCGGTGCAGTCGCCACATGGCTCGAAGACAATATTTTCGATTTTATATTAATCGCAGTCTTTGGGTTGGAGTACAGAATCACTAGTATAGTGAATATCGTTATAGCTACAATGAACTTGGCATAGATGCGCATTAATACCAAAGGTGCATTGCAATTTCCAATAACGACGAGTCCGTCACTTGGGTCGATCGAATATCGTTAAACTTACCGTGAATCGAAATTCAAAAATCGTAGGAACAAGTTTAAAATGTACGTAACAGTACCTATAATAACATAGCATTACGATTTCGAATTTACTATTTGGCATTTATTGTTTACAGCGTATTATCATTATCATCAACTATCATTCTTTCGACATCCAAAGTTCAAAAATCAGCTGTTGTAGTAGGGATCCCCCAGGGTTGCCAACCGGTTTTGCCAGAGTTCACAAAAAGTTTTGCTCATCAAGGATTCGGGTCCTTACCACTATTGCGACATTCTCAATTTTTTACTTCGCGTCTTTGTTCTCGAAATGGGTTACGAAATACCAAAGACAGATGTGAATTTGTAAGGTATATTGTGTATTTTTAGGTCTGTGCGAAATACGACTTACAGTATCTAAATCATAGGTTTGAGAATATGAAAATTAATATTAATAATTATTTTGAACTATGCCAGAAGTTAAAATATAACGTGAGACAAAACAAATATTACCACAATACTAGCTTATAAATTGACGTTTATCGATGACTTTAACCAATACGGGTACCAGAATAGAAATTAGAAACATTAATGCATCATGGGCCATGGCTAAATACATTATTTTTAGCCATTCATTAATGAATAATCTAATTAGAACAACTACAGCTGATATCATTTAAGTTCATCAAGGTATTTGTTAATACAATAATATTATAATATTAAACGAAGTATAAGTATTTTTTATATCAATATTAAAACCGTTTATAAGTAATATAATATTGTTCTTCGATATTAAAGTACCCACGTAAAACTAGCAAGGCAGCTTTCAAATTATAATTCACAATTGAGTTTAACAATCATTTTAAACGCACAAAAAAATAAAAATGGGTTATTGTCAACACAAAAATGTGTTGCAAACACAAACAAACGAAAACAATTGGAACTGTAATTATTGGGCAAGCCGTTTAACTTGAAGCCAGCACATTAATTATATTGTGACTGAAACAATATATCAATATTTATTATTGTGTCTTTGTATTTAAGAATAACTGCCTTTACTATTTACATAGGTAATAATTGATATGTTTAAAAGAACTTTGACATTGAATGTTTATTCGAGTCTAAAGTCGGCGCATCTATGATAGTATACAGTAAAGAATTCTGAAGACTCTCCTAACGGACACCTCCAAAGACTCAATAGGACAAAATTTCAGGGACCGAGTGTCCAGTATTTAGAGGTTTCACTGTACTTCAAAACTCAAGTGCATTTTATTTTTTGTAACAAAATGTTTCAAATAAAGACATTTTTTTTATAGGATCAAATAATGCAGAACAATGATAGTTTAAGCTATTTGATTAACAATAGTGTTGAAATACTTAATTTTAAAAACTGTGAAAGAAATATTGGATACAATATATTTGTTTTATTGACATATAATTTGTGTTCATGTTTTTTTTTATTTCACAAATACTCATTACAAATATATAATTTATTTTAAATATTATCTAAATACAGAAAATAATATATTATTTGTCTTAATATAACATAAAAAGTGACAAGTGTCACAAACATCAGGGACAAACTTGAGAGGGAGTTGTACCCCTATTTTTCAGCATATTATACAATTAATTGGGATTTGAAAATAAGGGCGACATTTAAAAATTCACAATTCTAAATCTAGTTGAAAATTTTAAACACTATACCCCTTCCCCCATTTTAAAATTGTCCCTGACTAAAATAATTCTAAAAGTTTTAATATTTTGATGATAATTTTTAATTATAAAAAAAAACAAATATTAAAACATTAAAATAAAATATAGTTTTGCTTATTCAGTTCATTCATTTCTGCATACCAAACCTAGTTTGGTTATGGTACATACTGATTAAAAACGTCTTATTTACAATTGGCAAAACCAACTCTGTTGTTTTCTAGATCAAATTCGGTGTAATAGCGACCGATGAAGACATCTCCCAATATCCACAATGGACCATTAGGAGGAGGAATATCAATACCCATAAAACCAGATAGGCAAATGGTTTTTCCGAATTGAGACACCTTGAATACAAAAAACAAGTATTTTAGAAAAAATTAATAATTAGAAAATAGCAAATTTCATTTTGAAACTTATAAAAGAAACATAAAAATAGACAAAATAAGCACACCTTCAGTATGTAGTCTTTTCCTTCAAGCTTAAATGTTGTGCTACCAATTACAAATGATAACACAGGTAAATTATCAATTTGATCACATGAAATCTAAAACAATCATTAATTATTAGTTTTAGGTCCAATAAATAACTAAACAGTTGACCTTACAATATATTCTCCTCCTGGTATGGCAGTTCCACCAAGAAGCTCATTAATTTGTTTAATATTGTCAACGGGTCCAGCAATCAAACTGGTGCCAGTATCAGCAATTGCTTGAAGGGCTCCACTCACAATTGATGTATTGCCAACAATAACTCTTTAAAAATAAACAATTTAATGAATACACTAATAATATATTAAAGGAAAAATGCAATACTTCAGCTTGTAAAAACTTGAATTAATATTATTTTGTTACTAATTTATTAATAGTTATGTAAAAATGTAAACATACTCATCTAGACCAAACTGCCAATAACCATGTCTGGTAACAGGAACATAGGTAAAGGGTCCAGTATACTTTTCAGGGTCGGATCCACCAAATATAATTTCACCACCTGGAGTGCTGGACGGATCTCTAAATTAATGTATATAGAAAATTAATAATGTTTTATTCCTAAATTTTTAATGATGTAATGCACAAAGCTCTATAATATATAATTTTTAAAAAATGTATTACATCATTACCTGTTCAAATAAAATGAGAATATGGCACTTTTAATAATGCCCTGATTAACCATATTGTAGAACGGAGGAACGACTCCATCAACAGCAATTGTGTTGTATCCTAAACCAAGTATTCCATCAAATTTGGCAGCAACAAAAGCAAATCCTGGTTCTTGGATTGCTTCAGCAAAAGTTTGATTAACAATTGACGTTCCATCCATCTAAACGGTAATTATTATTAAATTAAGCAATGAAATATAAAACCAAAAAATCAAAAAAAAAAAATAATAATAATATAAAAATTACTTATTATAAACAAATTGTCAATACTTTTACTAAGAAAAATATTGATAACAATTAAAACAAAAACCACAGGTACTAATTATTCCAAAAACTCTTAACTTATAAGTTATATGATTAATATACTAATAAATTATGAGGACCGCCGAGGTTACTTAATATTTTTTTTAAATTACTATTTAGTAGTTGAAAATACACATATAATAAAGTGTTTCAAACACTCAAATGAACCGAACAGTTTTAACTATTTGAATAACTTAATTCACTTCAATCAAATTAGATTATTCAATTGTGTCATCACTACTTACAATAATTTATTTTTAATTCAAATTTTAAATAATATTAACAAAAATATGACTATTTATGATTAAACTTATTTATGTTATACTAACATGACCTTATTTTGTTAAGTATATTTAAAGTTTTGTCTAAACATACTGATTAGAGAATAGATACAATTACAATAATTGTGTAATTAAATGTAATGTATAAATGAAACAATTATTATAAATTAGAATTCTTGCCATAATTGTAATTGATATATAACGCTAAAACTTTACAGTTGTCATATTTAAAAAAAAAAACATGTACTAACAGACATGACATCAGTAGACAAGTAGCCTGATAAACTTCCTGAACCGTAATGAATCGAAAACTCGGTTCCATTCTTTTGATATGTAGTCGATGTTGCCATATTATATTTGTTATGTAACACTGAAAAAAAGTAAATGTATAACAAAAAAAAAAAAAACCAATAGTATCGATAAAAATATTTATAATATATTACTGCATGCTATGTTCAAAACACTACATTGTTTTGATGGCACCCACAGATTTGACGAACCCGTGTCAAATACCACGTTGAAGGGTTGAGGGGGAGTACCGATAGTAATCGGTCCATAGTATTGAGCCTGTAAAAAGGAATAATCGAAAAATTAAAAACAACACATACAGCTGATAGATACGTGGACAATACACGCTTACGTCTAAATAGTTGGACAATGGTTCGGCATTGAGAGGATCGTATCGACGTTGAACAAAGCCGAGAAAATTGGAATTCCTCCCTCTGAGCTGATTACGCACACTGTCGATTTTGTGGAGTTTCACCCTGAAAACGACAAAGAAAAAAATGAGTAAATTTTTGATTTGTGAATGATCCAAAGTAACACTACTCACCTGAGCAAATCGCCATCGCATTGGACTAATGTGACTGTAATTGTAAATACAGTGATCAACAGCAGACATAAACGTTTTAATGCACTCATCGTGCACCACACAAGTACACAACGGTCGTGGCAATAAAATACGAATTAAAAATTTGGTGACGACGACGACGATTACAGACAACCGCAGTAATAGAGTGTGTTGAAATCGAAAAAAATGCAAGTCACAGGAGACGGTTTAACAGATAAAAAAAAATTGTCGATGAAAAACAAACGACAATAATAATATATATATAATAGACTATACAACTATAATGCAAGTGTACACATTATTTAATGCACAACGTTCATAGTCATTCGTTATTATCAACACCACTGATAATGATTAATGACGACCGGTGACCGAATGAACTTGTTGTGCCTGGTACAGTCAGTATGCATCAGCTGCATGCCCCGGCCTGCATATTCTGTATTCTGTTGACCGTCTAAATCATTGCCAGGGCTTGATTTAATAAAATTAGGGCCAAGTGCACAATTTTGTTTGGGGCCCCCCAAGTCAAAAAAATGTTCTAGAAAACATATACATCGACATGGGGGGGGGGATGTTTATAGTAAAAAAAAATATATTTATATGTTAAAATTTACTTCAAAATGAAAGTGTCGCTAATGGGTGGCCGCTCTCCTCAAATTATTCACTGTTATAAATAATCTTCTGTATCATATTTACTTATTGTGCAAAATTGTACAGATTGTAAATTTTCTTATAAAAAAAATATGTTAAATACCTATCTCAAAACTCATAAAATATTTGTACATTATTTCATGTCGGTACTATAAAATACAATTTAGTTACTTGGTCTAGTAAATTAAGGACAATGAAAAGATAATACCAATTAAATAACATAAACAAAATTATAATATATTAAAATATTAAAAATACTTAAGGATTTTATTATATGAATTTAAATTAAAATAATTAATTTTCAACCTTTCATAAAATTATAAAAATGGTAAATAATTTATTAATTAATAATTTATTTTTTATAATTAAAATGAAATAAAAAATGATCAATTTCTATAATTTCTATTTTTATAACATTTTATCATAAAATAGTTTAAAAATTACAAAGACAATTACAAAAACTGACAATTTAATGATAAAAATGTACTGAACTCTGAATATTGACAGTTGGTATCACATTTTACGAAATATATTTTTGTGGAATTCATTTAAAAAAACAATTTTCTACAACTTACCGAGACCGAGGGAACCCAGAAATTGGGGGCCAAGTGCAAGTGCTCCATCTGCACTTGCGTAAATCAGGGCCTCATCATTACCGATGAATTTGTTTAGATTGACACAATTCTGTAACATATTATTAATTGTTAAAATTGTTTATAACTTAGGAATAATTCGTCAATCATAATCCCCCTCCCCACAGTGACCAAATTTTGTACACAATACATCATGTATATAATTATATATTTATATGAATATAATACGCTGAATGTCTTTATAAATTGAATCTCCCCCTGGAAATATCCTAGATAAGGTACTGGCGGTACTGTTAAAAGCCCCCCCACCAATTTTCGGCTATGGGTGTAACTCCGAAACTAAAAACCGTATAGATACTTGGAATTGTCATTAAATGTTTATAATAGAATTTTATGTACACAATAAAATTTTTTTTTAATATTTTAATACTTTTTCAGTTAAATATAGTCATATGACCTTTTTCTATTTTTTTTAGTTTTGTTCTTTAAAAAAAAAAATATAAAAATGGAGACCTTTATACTGGTTGTCCGTTTACTAAAATAATCGTAGGTCACAATATCGTCACTATTTTCATAAGCCACATAAATTGATTTTCCACTATAGAGTGTTGACGCGTTTATCAATAGTTTACTATAAACCTTTCTGACGACTGGTGTTGGTGTACCATTAGTTGCCTATCCATTTCGCCGAATTATATCTTTATTATTGAAATAATATTATAATGAGATACTTAAAAATAGATCCTGAAAATATCAATGTGGATACTAACTTTAGTAAGAAAAAAAGAAAAAGTTACAGTTATTACAGTTATACAATTACAATTATTTTAGCCCTTTAAGTTTAATTGTAAATGATTTCGGTAAATTATAATTTGTAATACATACAAATAATTATATTATGTTCTAAACTATTAAATAATAATTTATAATTCTATTTATACATATAAATTATTTTTTTCTAATAAGTATAATATTAAAATTTAGAACCTTAGTTTAGGACGTAGGAAGGATTCAATGTAGGCGGACGTTGCGTGATGACAAGTATAACAAAAGATTATGTTAAATACTTATATATAATTTTATACTTTTACAATGACAATCCATAAGATCAAATGTTCTTCGTCAAGTCATAGAAAATGTTTTATTATCAATACGATTCTAATTATACATACATAATATAATATAACTGTACATAGATATATAGAAAATGAATCATCAGTTGGATTTGTACTAAGAACTCGTACTTGAGCTATTGGACTAGCCACTAACCAATGTTATATTGTTATAAGTATTAAAATTTAAAATACCGATATGTGTATTATATTTTGTATTGGTGTATACAATAAAGGTGCTATTTTATTGAATTATAATTTCTAATCAAAAAAACATTAAATCATCGCATTAATTGTTTGGAATTTCTAGAATGTAGTTTATTTACTTACAAATAGTTAGTATTTAATTTCATCGTAAACGACACTATACAAATTAGGGCTGTGAATTAAATACATTCGTGTGTTTTTTATTTGGAAAAGGAATTTTAAGTACCTACGGTAAATATTTGTTACACATTGAATTATAAATATTAAAAGTGTATAGACAATTAATATGTTTATTGCATATGCCAGTTTTAAAAATAACTCAATTAAAATGAATAGAAATATAATATGATGTGATGAATAATTGAATAAAATAGACACTTAAGGGGCCTGCTCGCGATTTTTCAAATTTTCCGCAATTCTATAAAATTTGAAAATTAAATTTTATATTTTAGTTGCCACCTCAATTATAAGACTTTTCCACTAATCTACTACCCAATACCTATTTAGGGGGGGTTGATAGGGTGTATTATATCGGTCAAAACACAGTTTACAGGAAAAACTCTCACACCTCGTAGATTGGTCCGATTTCCGTAATTTTTTTTTGTTAGATAGAGGAATATTTTTTACAGGGCGCATTGGACTTCGATTTTTGATTACGTCGCTAAAAACCAAAAATAAAACAAAAACTAAAAAGTTGTAAAAATTGATTAAATTCAAACTTGTAACATAAGATTTAGAAAAATAATGTTGAAAATCCAAGTCCAATGCGCCCTGTAAGAAGTCTTCCTCTATCTAACAAAAAAAAAATTACGGAAATCGGACCAATCTACGAGGCGTGAGAGTTTTTCCTGTAAGGCATGTTTTTGAGCAAAAAAACAGGTCGCGTGCAGGCCCCTTAATGAGAAAATAATATTTTAAATAATATGATAATATTATTCACAAATAAAATTTAGTATTCATAATTTACTGTTCAGTTTTCAGTACCGTTTTGATCAAGCTTACACTAAAGGTTTTAGATAATAATTTGTGACCAAATGTTCTTTAAAATGTTTCTCGTTAGTTAACATAATATTATAGGGTTTTTCAATATTTTACACTATTTTAACAGTTATTAATTTATTATGTATTTATTTAATTAAAACATTAAAAGGTAGAATAAAATTGAAAATGTGAAAAAATCATTGTTTGACACTATTGTAACTCCGTAATTTTGAGGCTTTATGCCTTAAGCGCGTCTTCCTTTTTTGTCAACGGGTTGGGTACTTGGACTGAAATTTATGTAATTTTCCTTGTATATAACTAATAACTATATATAGGTAAGCATCTTACTTACATGCATTTTTTAGGAACATATTATAGAATAATGATGGATGATGATTATACATTTATACATATTATAATATTATAATATGGAAAAATGTTGATATCCCTGTATAATCGTATAAGATAGACAAAACAAACAAAATAAGCATAGTAATATCATTTGAATGGAAATTAAAACGAAGATTACTATTCTCGTTCATACACGACTTCCCCTCTCTAAACGCCACGCTATACGGGCTGTGTAGCTGCTGGCTGACCGCAGTTCAGCGTGAACATTATCGAAGAATAGGTAGTTCAATTCCAGTCAACACACGAGCAACGACCGACGGGCTTATTAGTCTTTAAACGTTTACGTACATAATAATATAATATTATTGGTATATCTTACGTTAACGCTGCATATATATATATATTTTACGAAAATATACAATATTAATTTTTTTATTAAATAAAAAAAACAGTGAAAAAAAAAATATCAAAATAATTATGCCGGACACTGTGGTTACCGTTCAAAATCCCGAGTCCAAACCTGCAGGAAAACCCGGAGTGGAAAATGGAAACGTGAACAACATTTTCTCTTGGGTGGAAATCAACTACAATTATTTCAAAACCTTACCTGGAATATTGAAATTGGCGCAGTTGGTAAGTTTCATAACAAATATTTACGTTTTAAATATAGGTAATACGTATTATACAATATACATATTATTATTATTATTATTAGGCATAGGCAAACTATATTACTATAAAGATTGATTTTTTACAAAAAATTAAAATTAACATTTGGGTAAAAACCTACTATTATATATTGTATGGTCATCGAACTCCAAAACATTCCACTGTAGTTTTGTTGTCGGATAACATATTCTGAACGTCAGACCTATCCTCGGTGCTTTTGAAATATTAAAATACGTTTTTTTTTGTCAGTTGGAGTCGTTTGAATAATAGTAATAATTATATGTACAAATAACAATCCTACCTAATTATAATAATATGCCCATACTTATTCATTCATAATCATGAATCATGATATTCCAGTCAGAGATAAACTGTCAACTCGCACACCGCGGCGGTAAAACATTACAGCTCTTATACCTATGATTGGAATATCTCTGGAACGAACAATAAAATGCAATTGTATCGAGTTAAAATAGTTTTCAAATTGTCCGTACAAAATCACGTGTTTGTGGTCGAGGAACAAATTAACGAAAACTAAACGTTTAAGACATTTAAAAAATTATTTAAAATGCAAAGCTAAAAAGACGTAACTTTTTATAGATAGGTAATAAAAAATATAAATGTAATCGTAAGTGTTTAGGATTTTAATATTGGCTTTAAATTGTTAGCTTATGAATCATTAAACAAATTATATAGTGTAAACACTCATTTTTAAAAAATAATCAACAAACGTTGATGTGTTTTCGTGTGTGTTGTGGTTGTGGTTTTATTGGAATTAAAGATAAACTAATATAATATATATTTATATAATTATATAGCTATTGTAACTGTTGTAGTTGTTTACGCAGGGAAACGTCGGATACACATTTTAGTATTTTACATTTAACACATATTTTTTACGAGTATAAACACAATATTATAATCTATGCTTATACAATTCTGAATTCATGTTTTTGTTATTTTAATAAAATTTGTTGAGCGCGCGTGTATACTTAAAAAGAAACACCCATCGGCCAAGCCCCACGCCGCCACCACCGCGTAGTGTACCCATCAAAATAGGTTTAAGCATTCTTGGCGCGCCTAACTTCCACAAGGCTACTACAATAGCTTTTTGTCATATTGTATAAAGTAACGCACACAATTATTATTATATTATTGTACATTACCGATGAAAATATTATAATATAAACGGAAATTTAATTACGCGTTTTATTATTTTCCGAATACCTCTGCAATTATTTACGTGTTTGGACTGAAAAACGGATAGAAACAACTCTTTACCTAATGATATTATATTATTCGTACAATCGTACATACCTACCTAATATAAAATACCTAAAGATAAAATCGGGATCCATATTTTTACAACGCCAAACCGTACGTACTTATAGGTGGCTTTAATTATACAGCTGCTGTATATCTACTTTAATTGCTCTATCCATAAAGATCTAGTTTTAAAAATATCTATTCTCATTCTTGTACGGATTGAAGAAAAAAACAGAGTCACTGCGGCGTATCCACAGTTATATTATACTGCATACATGTGCAGCATCCTAAAATATACGCCCTAGTTATAAATATTATAAATAATATATTTTAGTTGAACATCTGAATAGAATAATAGAATATTATAATTATATACTATCGATTTAACTACATCATAACCTACAGACTTTTTGTTTACGTTGTAATATTAATGATTATAATATTTGGTTCAAGACATTTTAACGAATTTAATTGACTTGTCGTAACATTGAAATAGTTCATTGTTCATTTACATTAAATGTAAAGTGGACGTGGAAAACGCACCACCACATTTTATAATATCAAACGACTTGCCTGTTAACACATACGCGAGAGAAAAGTGACACGTTCATACTTACGGTTTTATTTTTAGACGCCGGTTTGTAGAGAGAAAATTGTAATTTAAAAAACATATTATTATCCCGGGAAGACGTCGGAATAGTAATTAATAACTCTCTTACTCGGGCGTCATTTTAATATTGTAAAACCTTTCGGCACCTTTCGTACACTTTATTTTATACACCGTAAAGGTAAATACAGTTATAGGAGAGGTCGATAATAAACGGGCGTTCAAAAGCTTTTGGTCTGGTGACAGATTGTACCAGCTATTTCCCCGCTCATTATTGTTTACAGATGTTTTTGTCAAACGACTTTAAACCGTTTACTATGTTGTACATGTTCGTGCATAATCCGGATTCCGGAGACTTGGACCGGACGACTTGCTCTATGAAATAATTACAACAACAAAGCTCCGGGCCATTAAAAACCTGCTCGGTGCTGCTATACAAGAATGATAATATAGCATTAGTAACAATATCCTACTGGAATGCGGTAAAATAAAAAACAAAATTGTGGATTATCGGGGTATGCATTGGGGGGGGGGATAACTTGTATAATATTATTATGTATATAAATATACGAATAATATTGTTGTGACACACTACACGAGGTAACCCACGCGAAGGAAGATGTAGAAAAAGAAAAGTTCACCTATATAATTTTATACCGGCTCTACGGCTCTACTCCTCGTTAATATATTATATTTCTGAAATATATATTATACCTACCTATTATGTTTGTATACAGAGCGATCGTATGTACCTGCATACTAATATATATAGAGTTTTTTATTATTATTAATCTATGAAAATTTAAACAAATGTTCCTCGAACAAACATAAACAGATGACGCAACAGTTGACGCGTATCCTATAGGATATATTATTATTATCATTGTTTATTCAAATTTCAAACCGTATGTAAACTTGATTATTTTTAAACAATAACATTAGATAGGTTATAGCATATAATAATACTCACCTCGTTTATATTTTCAGATAGAAATTTTTTGTCTATAAGTTTCGTTTTTTAATTTACACAGGTGCAAATACATTTCGTAGGCACACCATTGCCCTGCCATAAAAGCATTTATTTAAACCTAAACATTATAAATTAGTGGAATAAATTATTATAAACCGCATAGATAGGTTGCTGTTTAATCGCCTTGTGCGTAAGTAACAGTGGCACAAAATTTAAATGGGGGAGTCTACAGTGTCACTCAGTCTTCACGAAATCTCAATAATCCCCCCGAAAAATGCATGAGCGATGTCCACTGTTTAAACACATTCCTAATACCTACATTTATCTTGAATTTTTACTACAGGCTTATACTTTATAAGCTTATAAAAAAGTATTAAACGCCCGAAGCCCCATCCCTCGAGGTTTTTGATTATTTGCAACACTGATAAAATAGGTATTTGAATAGGCGTTAGACAATACTATTCGTTCAAAGGGAAGACATATTATATTTATCTACCGTTCTCCGGAAATCTACAATATGTTTCTCTGTACTATTTTTCCGAAATTTATCGTCTAAATCAGTAAAAATATAATAATAATATTGATCAATGATCATTAGGTCAGTCGTCGGTGTGTGCAGGTGTTGCACTCGGTTTTATAAGTAGGACGAATGACGACGACCACGACGACGACACGCACGTCGTTGCAACGGTGTTTTTCGACGGAGTAAGCAAGCACTCCTACGCTCCAGGAGTTTTTCATTAATAAATAGGTACGTTGTTGCGATCGCGGTGACGTGGTCGTATTCATATTTTCCCGTTTCCTGCTGTAACGCGTAAATTCGTAAGTCATCTCTGCACTTCCGCCTGCAGCAAACCGCAAGCACTTTACGATCTACGGGGTACACTAAAAGTCTATATATCATTATGATTATTGGCGTCGACACACTGAACTGCACAGTGACGTGCGATACGATTATTAAGGTCTATGATGTGTGTGATGGATACCTACGCTCCTTAGACGAGACGCACAAACGGTTCTAAACGTCTAAACGTCTTAATTGAAAGTTAATTAAACCAATTTCGAACGGTATGTTACAATCGTAATTATGAGACGGTGGTCGTCTGTTCCCCGTTCGCATTAAAATAAAAAATAATTAAAGCGGAGGCGGACCACACCGCGTGGTGACTATACTTACTAGCTTTTATATATATGTATAATATTATGTTTGCATTTTATTTTCATTAGAACGAGAGAAAATGAGAGGCAGTAAAAATGGTTTCATAATAGTATAACATATAGGTACCTACTAAATAATAATAAACTATGCGCGTAGTATGATATGTATTTATATGTGTAACGTATATTATACAGGGTGAATTTTTCTGAAGATGATATTTTGGAAAATGTTTATGTATTATTAGAGATTGAAATTTGAACTAGCAGTTTCTAATTAACGTATACCTACCTACTAAGATAATAATATAGTTTATGAATATTTTGATAAAAATGTATTAAATAAATAAATGCATAAATATGTATGCTGCTATTGCATCCTTAAATGTGCACCAATTTCGTAAAATTCTAAATATTTGAAACTATGGTCTCTACATTTACTTGAATAATAAATAATAATAAATACAAAATTTAAACATAACACATATTATAGGTCTATAACAATGGGGTGGAATGCCTTAAACATCATACTGTATAGTATAACTCCACAGCAAAGAGTATTAATATTTCTTTCGACATATTATATGATAATAGAGGGTTAAATGAGAATAAGGTGTTCCATCAGTATAATTCATAGTACTATTTAAGTATTGCCATGTTATTGCAGTCCTAATGAAAACAAATAATTTCACAATGACCGTGAACAACTTTGTAAAAATGATGCAAACAAGCATTATGCGTAGGTACCTCGTACAGTCGTACCTATATATGTATATATACATATATATTACATTCCATTATATATGACCAACGAACGAATTTTTTTTAGTTTCGTTAGATTTTTCTATAGAAGGTTTATGGTTGCCCCAAAACAACCACTCGAGCATGACTGAATAATATATTCTACATTATTGCAAATATAGCCTATTTTGTAATGGAACAAAAAAAATGGCAGCGTAAGGGTAC